TAAATGAATTACAAGATTACAGAATGCCATATGGCTCAGTATTAATAATGCATCAACATGAAAGCGGTATTGTTATGTTGCAAAAAAATTGCAAAAAAGTTGTAGAAAAATTCCAATACATCAAAAGTTCTTGAGTAAAAGTTCTTACTTTCCACCATTGTCAAGTGTAAAGTGGTCGCAAGATATTGTTGATTGAAAAAACTTGATAAAAACATATCAAAACAAAATGTTAAAAACTGTAAGATATTCATGAAACATTCATTCAACTATGTGGAAAAATGAATTCATAGTACTCTATGTGTGTCTCCATACCTTCTATTACGGACCACTTTAGCCTTTAACAGATGAACATTGCTCTCTATTTACCTCAACACTTTAGGATCCCTTGCCAATACAACCCTAATATGCTGAGCCCATCTTCAGAGGATCAGAGCAAACAGATGGCAGCAAGCTGATAGTTGTTGTGGCACAAACAAACAGACACATCCAGCTGCCAGTTTCTCCAGGCTCAGAGTTATAGTAAGCATTGGTGAAGAATCCAGGACAAAGACAAAGACAAAGACAGTATAAGAAATGTTACCAACCTGGAAGCTGGGCTACCTGAGGAAGGTCTAGTGTGCCCCTTCTGGCCCTGAGTGGAATAACAACAATGTCATCATGCTTTCTATAATCTGCAAATATTTATTACTACTTCAAATCAAACCAAGAGTAATAGTATTCCAAATGATGTACTTTGTGAGTTTATGTGCCCATCCAAAAAGAAGATGATTTACCAAATGAAAAATATCTTGTCTTACCAGATATAGTTTTCCATTAGCTGCATGGACATCTGCCTGTTTTTTGCAGTACATTTTCCAGATTTCTTCATCAAAACCATAGTTAAAGTAATCTGTGATGTCAGCACCTAAAATAAAATAATTAAAAATGAATGAAAAGGTCTACAAAAAGTTAAAGAACATTGTCGAAAGAATAACAGGCTCAGAGTACAGCATTACTTACCAGATAACCTCCATGGCCTTTCCGCTGAAGACTCAGTGTCTCCATTCAGTTCTGGGATTTCCTCGAAATAGTTCAACTCTTCCAGGTATAGCGCCCTTGTGTCATTATAAGCTGTAAAACATTTGACAGGGCTCAACTCTCTGAAACAAATAAGGCTATTTGACTTATTTTCACAAAAAAAAGAAATCAGTCAAGAGAGCTGATGTGAAATGAAGCCCGAAATAATCGGTAAAGAGTTACCAAATAATGTAGGAAAAAGAAGATGTTCACCTAAGTGAAATATTCCCTGAGTCTTCTGACCAGTCAACTGTCTGTTTCAACATCTATATTGAATTGAGACTTAGATTTTTTATTTAAGAATGAATTGGAAAAAATTGTGATATAGTCTGTTTTGTTTTGTGTCTCATTGTATTCCGAGCCATCCCTAAAGCTACCTACCTGTACTTACCAACTGTATGAGGTGGTACACTGCATTCAGCATCAGTTTTCAGAGGAACAGGTATATCCCCAGAGCTGAAAGCAAAGAGCCAGCACATCATCATCATGATTATCGCGATCAACGTGACATTAACTTGAGAAACACTGTTGTCTGGGTTGAGTGCTAATAACCCAATCCGAAATGGCACCTCCTCAAACAAGAATAATATATCACAAAAAAACAATGAAACTATCTCAAAGCTACATTTTGACAGAAGTGGGTTCCTGAATAATGATGCACATTCATATTATACCCAACAGGCAAACAAAGGCAATAAAAGGCAGAAACATTTTGCTTTATTTTGTCAGAAGATGGAAAGTAAACAGTAACACTCTCATATGCATTGCTACTCGGCTACAGAAAAATCCCTGCATTCATCAGCACTGTCATTGTCACTTTCTTCATCATCTTGGACAGCTTTCCAATTACCCCATGACACAAAAGAAACAGATGAAAATAATAATCAAATCCACTTGCATATCAAAACACAGTTTATTTGACAGGCGCTGTGAAAAAACAAATAAATAATGCGTTCAATAGATTATAATGAGAGCTAGAGATAAAGTTATATGGTGAATATACCTATTTTATCTTTAGAGTGTTTCACACAGGCTACTTCAGTTAAGACCTTGAGACGAGTCACCCCTTTAAACCATGAATGGCTATTGTTCAGTTGGAGAAGGCTAATAGTGACTTGATATTATCTTAGTTTTTAAGACACTATTATCCGGAAATATTCAAGTTTGGTTGGGATTCATGGTGGGTTATTCTAGCCCTAGTGCAACCAAGCTTTAAGTGAACCAAAAATAAAATACCAAAGACTGTTATCCTTTGAATATCTTACACATTCACTTCAAGCCACACAAAAAAAGAAGAAATGCCTGAACTCACAAAAAAAAAACTATTGTATGAGTTTCGTAAGTTACAGAAACGTAGTGTAATTGCAAGGATATGCCAAATGTACTAAGGCAAATAGGCTGAAGAATGCAGGCCAAAGATATCATCAGTGCTCCAGTTGTGTGATTGCCTACATCCACATTCCCAGCTCACAAATAAACACTACTGGCCTGGCAGCAGATTTAATGAGCATCAAAATACTTCTTAATGTTGCACATGACTGGCTGCACATTTCCGGGAGCAGACATGGGGCCATCACACACATTTTGCGCAACTATAATGATCACTGTCATTATTGTACTGTGAGAAGTGTATAATAACTGAATGCTTCATTGCTGTAATGCAGTTGGTTCTAATTGGAACGCCCGCCAGCAGAGTTCACTCAGCTAACTGTCAACAATGGCCTGTCTAACCTGTGTGGTTTAAACGTTTTAATTATTTTATTAATCTTAAAAGTTCAATATAAGGTCAGTACATTATGTATCACAAAATGTACTGCATGCCTAAATTAAACTATTATTGTATCATGTTCTAATGCTGCATATGTAAAAGGTTTTAACGTCTGGCCTGATGTACAATTCTTGTTGTGTTTTAAATTGCTGCACCTGGTGCATGAAAAGTGTTATAAAAATAAAGCTTATTATTATTATTATAAGTAAGAAAAAATAAAATACTGGCATTACAATGTTAAGAAAGTAATACTCACTAGTGAACCATTCTGGAATAAAATATATTATTTGGGATTATAATCATTTGATTGTAATCATGTTTGCATTAATGTGTACACAACTTTAATGTTGAACCAAATGGTTCAGATACATATTAAATTAAACTATGAATCTGAATCTGCAAATAGCAATTGGGCTTACTGAAGTTGTCAAAGAGTGGAGGGAAACGTATATTTCCATCTAAAATGTAGATCAATAAAAGTAAAAAAGGATCAGTAAATGGAAATACTAAAGCCCTCAAAATAATAGGCTACTTGAGTAAATCTAATTAATGAGCCTACTTTCCAAAGGGTAGCCTATAGTATAACAAATACATTGTGCATAGGCTACAGTTTAATCACCTGCATAAGATTTGAACGTCCTCTTTTTCCTCCTTGTCATTTGCGGGGATCAGGTCATAAATCACTGAAACACACGCAAACACATGACACAATTAACGTCAGAGTTATTGGCCTGATTTGACACTTAAACTTGTTTTAAAGTTTTACCAATCCACATATACACATAAACGACCATCACGATCTCTTTTGCTAATCAGAAATATTGTTTGTGTCGGCAGTAGCAGTTGCTTTGTGTGAACGTAATCTTACATTGGTATATCTTTCCCTCTTCGTCTTCGCTGACAGGGCTGTCGGTGGACTCCAACTCCGATGAAGACATTTCTGATACATAAACAGGTAGATTTAAACAAATAAACACCAGAATTTAAATAAAAAAGTAACTAGTTCTGCACTTTGAAAACGGGAATGTTCGATAATCAGTAAGTGCAGAAAAACGGAGAGTTGCCATGGACACAATTAAGAGAGAATCCAGCCTTGCGATTGGTCACAACAGGTCTTGCATCATGTTGACCAACTGCAATTTGCTGTTTTAACCGTTGATATCAGAAACATTGTTTTAAGGATATGAGTGAACTTAATTTGATCCTTTATTTACTTCCAGTCATTGAAATGTCGTTGTAAATTGCAGTTTTTCTAGAGTGTCATTTTAATGAGGGAGCAGTACAGACAGATCAACACTTTACTTTACACTTTCCCAATTATTTAAACAGCAATGGTGAAAATAAAGTTAAGCATTGTGTTTCTAACTTGCTTCTTACTGCCACAACGAAAGCGAATATCAGTAACCTAAAGATACACTTGTACTTACTGTAATGGAAACTTCAGGAGCATGGAGTCGAAACACAATGAGACACGGGAAAGCTGGAACTTGATGTCAAACACTGAAGATTTATTTGAAGTTACTGCGAATTGACAAAGACATTTGCTGCAGCCACAAGGTGACAGAGCGCTTGCCTAACCCATTCTGCTGATCTCTCACCCAGCCAGTCCCATGTATTTAGCTGGTACTGAGAGAATAATCAACATTCAGCAAAACAAGATAAAACTGGCATGAATAATGAGACATAACACAGAGAGCAAAGCACTCCAAGGTCGCATGCCTGTGCTCACATAAAGTGATAAACTGTGTCAAAGGTATGGGCCAAGGAAATATTTTCCTCAACACTTTATTACTATATTTTTCCTACCGCACCCCTTTTTAAAAAAAAATAATGTTGTTATTTATAGAATACAATAGCTGTATATTATAATCTATTGCCATCTCTTTTTTTTAACATTTCTTTATTTTGTTAGCAGTAGCCTATATTTATTTTTGTTTATTAATATAAATCATCTTGTATTTTCTCCAGTTTACGATCTTGTACATTATGTCGAATTGTTTGTCTTTTAAACCACTTATTTCCTTATCTATTGTAGTTTGGTGACTAACATTATTATTAATTTAATTCTAATGTTGTGTTCATTTTATTTGTTGTCTTTAAAGTGCTTTGGCTTTACAAGTGGGATTAATCGATAACAAGCTTTGAGAGTAGTTCTCGTGAGAAGTATTCGCTGGGTGCTTGTTATTACTATAGCAACGACTCGGTGCTTCAGTGACGTATTTATTCTGCGACGTGCAATTGCCACGTCAACTTCAAGAGACTCGTGTGTTTGTTTTGTTGTTGGAGCAACTTTAGCTGACATTTCTGATGCGCATTTGAATTCGTAGCATTTCAGCTAACACTGACAATTAGCAAACATGCTAACGACGGAGGACTATACGCACTTCCCGGTCCAGATGTGGGAGAGGGTGCTCTCGAAAGTGAAGAAAGCGGTTATTTTTATGGATGACAAGTGTGCAGAGTCTCTCCACTGGTGCGGAGGTGCTGCCGTCTTACTAGAGGCTGGAGCTAGGAATCTAAAGCAGTTTTCAAGCTTCGAAGCCTGTGGGGTGAACGAACCGAAAGCTGTGTTTGTGGTGAGCACGTTGTTAAAGGGAACAACGGTGGAGATCATTAAAGACATCATCTCCCTCAGTCACTTCCAGTACTGTGTTGTCATCACCACTGTTGCTCACTCTGTGCACCTGCTAGCCAACAATGTCGCCACAGAAATGGAAGGCAGCCCTGTGTTTGAGCAGTTTGAAGAAAAGCTGTGCGAGTGGATGGGAAACATGAACTACACAGCGGAAGTCATGCACGTCCCAGTGGTGTTCGCCCCGGTGTCCCAGCAGCTACTCCTCACGCCCATGTTTGCACACCTGTTTCCCTTGCTCCCACCTGATCTGGAGTCAATAAATGCAAAACGTCCAGAGAAGAAGAGGTTTGGAAGCTTGCTCGACGTGGACATGAACTCTCTTCCTGTTGAACTACAGTTTGAAATCAAATCTCTGGCTTCGGTGTTAAACTCAGTGTTTGAAGCTACAGGCACCAGAGAAGAGAGTTTCGCTGTGGGTCCCATGAGCCGCATAATAGCAGGGGAACTGTCCAATCACCCCCAAGCAAAGAACCGAAGGAAGGCGGCCCCTAATAAAGCCTCCATCATTTTTGTGGACAGAACAATGGATATTACAGGTAAAAACTGCAATACAAGTGTCCTGTGACCAGTATCATGGATACATACAGTATATGGATGTTTACATGGCTAACAACTGTTAATAGCACAGTGTAGAAATACTCACGAATAACACACCTTGCTGAAAGAAGTACTCAGATGTTGCTCAAGTGGCAATTGATTGATGTAGCCTAAATGTGCCATGTTACAAGTGAAACACATTTGTAATAGTATTCAATGCTTTTGAAAAGTAAAGTATGTCATAATTTTACATCACTATAATTTTGACACTTGTAAAGATTGAGCTATTTTGAACTACTTTGTAAACTTTATCACACACAAATATGTTTGTTTTATTCAACTTAATCTGCAAAGTAAATATTAATTGTAGTTTTAAATAACAGGTAGTGGAGTAAAGGGCACACCTTTTGCTTCTCAAATGTTGTGAAATTAACATCTTAATAGTAATCATAGCTAAAACTGCAAGAAGAGTATTTTGTGTCTTTTACTGAAATAAAGATGTTTATGTCACTGACAACTCTCACTACATACTGAATAGATGTTTTTTTTTGTTTGTTTTTTTCAGGAGCTGTTGGTCACCATGGAGACAACCTGGTGGAGAAGATTCTGAGTGTGCTTAAACCTTTACCTGGTCATGTGACAGACGTACAGGTGGACATGTTGGAGCTCACAAGTCTGCAGCGAACCCCTCACTCCCAGAACACCCTGGCCCCCGGCTGCCTCGCACAGACCCAGTGAGTAGCTCTCTAATTGTGGTTAGTTGATAGCTATATCCCATTTTATGTTCAATGGTGTTTTACTGTGCTGTAAATACACATAGCTTTTATTATGACATGCAACTGATTATGATGGAAAATAACTTTTATTGGTGTTGATCATTAATCGAATGTCCCTTTAGCCATGATTTAAGACCCAAGAGCCGGGACAAGAAAAGAGAGTGCTATAGGAAAATCACACAGACTCCTCTCTGGGATTGTGACCTATACCACAGTCAGCCACTAGGGTCGATCAAAATGTTAGGATTTGACTTTATACAGTCTATTTGAATAATTAATAATAATTCTTACCTGTGGCCCTAATCTTTACTCCAGTAAAGTTTGAGCACATAAATACCTGTGTTTTCCTCTATGGGAGCACACAATACCTCTCAGGCTCATTAACGGTGTTGTTGTATACAAGTATGTATTCCAATTTGATAAAACATAGATTAAGTTTGAACAAAAAGGAAAATTAGGTCCAAGTTTTGAACCTGCCAGCCTGATTTGGCATTTATTGTTTGAATGAGCTCCAGATTACTCCTGTACTTCTGTAAAGTCCTTCAAGGTTTTGGCCTGTATTCAGTGATTTAGCCCGAACTTGAGAGGCTGGAGGGCAACAGAGGACGCTTGGACAACTCGAATTTTGTTCTTTTTTGTCTTTATTTATTTTAAGACAACTCCAAGAATTTTCATCAGGTTGAAAACCTTCAAACCACAAAGGACAAACAAATGTTAGCTCACATGCAAACACAAATTACAAACATTTTGCATGCCTCATTGCATTCTCAATAATAATAATAATAATAATAATAACAACACAAACTCAGTCACATTCCTGCCTTTTCAGGGTATTTTAATTAAAAGGATAAATTGTGAGTTATTTTAAAACCACATCATTAACTTAAGTGAATTAATAAGAGAGTGTTTTTCTCTACTTGGAAACAAGCACCAGAGAAAACCTCACCTGAACACCTGCGCTGTCTAAAATACACATCAGACAAACGGAGCGCAGGCAGACCACGCTGCGTGAAAAGCCCTCGATTGCGCAACAGCACTCTCACAAAGTAAGGCAACAGATCAAGTTCATAAAACACAAGAAACACCGGAGAAACATACCAACGGCGTCTCTGGAGCCTCACACACACTGTGGCCAACTTCTCCCTCCGTGGCTTTGGGAACCAGAGACCGGCCATCATAAACTCCGCCCCTTTTGTTGCCGTGACACCGGAAGCGGCCTTCATTCTTCTTAATGACAGCTCGCTTCTCATTGATAAAACGTAGCCTACGCTCTTCAAAATAAAACGAACACCCCTCCTGGTATTGAACAATACTATAATAACAATAATACTCTAAACGAAAATACACACAAATAATTATTTATCCGTTTTTCTCAGATATTATTATTTTTCTTTCAATATTGACGTTCGTCTCGACAGTGTGAAACACAAAACCAACCTGCAGCCGTTATGCACATTACAAAAAAGGGCTCTAAGAGTCATCAGTAATGTTGGATATCTTGAACACACATTACATCACATGTCACTTGTTAGACGCTCTTATCCAAAGTGACTCACATTCATTCAGTACTGTGGACAATCCCCACAGGAGCACTTTGAGGTGAAGTGTCTCAGGGACACAACGACATGCTGACTGCAGTGGGACTCCAACTTGCTACCCCCTGATTCAAAGTCCAGCACACAACCCACTGAGCCACAGCCTCACACTCATTCATCATTCTTGAAGTCACACACACTGCAGTTTACTGATCTGGTTACATTTCAAAGTGCATCATGTACAGAGCTAGAAAGGATCTAAAATACGTAACATCAGAAATAAAATCAGTTTGACATGAATATATTTAGAATGCGGTCCTCGTCCTGTTCCTGTGAATTCATAATTTTCCTATTTTCTTCTGCATTACGACATTCATTCTTCGTCCTTATTCAGTGGAAATTTGTACAGTGTATCTTATTCAGTGTGTCTTGTTGACTTGTAATCGTTATATCTTATATAACAGGTAATGTAATTAATGACATCACATTTAGGGGGTCACTTTCATTTGGACTACGGTGCCTAGTCACGTACAACATGTCTCATAAATCCTCTTCCATTTCCTCACCTTAGATCAGCTCCTTTGACGTGTAATGGCTGGACAACTTGTCTCTTAATTTAGACGGTTGATGTTAGGATTATACAAAATTATACATTATTACAGTAAGATAGTTTACAGTTTTTATGGAAAAATGATATGTAGTATGAATTCTTTATACTCTAATAAATTTTACTTCTGGTTGAGTTGGTAACGTTTTCGTTCCGTCCAAATAAATATGTCCGTCCGAAGTTGTGGTTTCCGTTATAAGTTTCTCAAATTTGTTTACTTTCTGTAGTCTCGTAGGGTCTTGGTCACGTCGCCTTGTGCAATAGGTCTTCCGAAAAAGTTTTGATCGTAGTAAGTTTTCTCTTTCTTAGTTCTTTGGTACTTTGTTCTGGACGTCCTAAAGACGCTGAAACGAAAGGTCTACCAAAAACCTCTCGATTGTGACCTGAAGAGGTCGCATATCGAAGACGCAAGACCCCTGTCTTTCGGTCTGGTCTTCTGGACTCTCAGAACCAGTAGACCTCTGTCTATCCGTCTGGGTCTCTGGACTAGACCAAGACCTCTGTCTTTCGTCTTGGGTCTTTCTGGACTCTCAAGACCCAAGCGCTCTGTCTTTCGTCGTGGTCTTTTGGAGTCTCAGACCAAAGACCCGCTGTCTTTCGACTGGTCTTCTGGACTCTCAAGACCATAGACCCCTGTCTTTCGTCTGGTCTTTCTGGAGTCTCAAGACCCAAGACCTCGTCTTTCGGGTCTGGTCTTCTGGAATCTCAAGAAACCAAGACCTCGTGTCTTTCGTCTGGTTTTCTGGAGGTCTCAAGACCAAGACTCTCTGTCCTTTCGGTCTGGTTTTTGGCTCCTCAAGACCAAGACCTCTGTCTTTCGTCTAGGTCTTTGGAGTCTCAAGACCAAGAACCTCTGTCTTTCGTCCTGGTCTTCGTGGATCTCTCAAGACCGAAAGACCCCCTGTCTTTCGTCTGGTCTTCTGAACTCGTCAAAGACAGACCCTGTCTATCCGTCTGGGTCCTCTGGACTCTCAAGACGCAAGACCCCTTTCTTTCGCTGGTCTTCTGGACTATCAAGACCAAGACCCCCTGTCTTTCGTCTGTTCCCTCCTGGCGAACTCTCAAGACAAGACCTTTCTTCGTCTGGTCTTTGGACTCTCAAGCCAAGACCACCTTTTTTCGGTTGGTCTTCTGGACTCCTCGAAGACGCAAGACCTCTGTCTTTCGGTCCTGGTCTTCCTGGACTCTCAAGACCAAGACCCGCTGTCTTTTCGTCTGGTCTTCTGGACTTCAGTCGACACTCATAGGACGTTGTGTGACTAGATACAACAGTCCCCCCCCATAGTGAGGAACGGTCTCGTGTGTCTCTGTGACTGCCTTGGTTCCCGAGATTGGGTCTTGGGATTGGATTTGGTCTCGGGTTTGGGTCGTAATCTCTCGCAGCGACTTACAACGCAAGACTGCCGACACCTCCACCCAGCACACAGTCTCCTCTGAGACACTTCCTCTCGTCGTCGGTCGGTCTACTGGTCTATGTGACGGATGACAGACAGGTCTCACTCTTCCTCTCTCTCCTCCTTCCTCCTACTGCTCTTCCTCTCTACGAGACAAGGAGAGAATAACACGGTCTGTCTCGTTGGAGGTAGTCGCTAGAAACAACTGAGGTCTGACTGTAAGAGAGTTTGGAAAATGTCAAAAAAGGGAAGGGGGGGAGAGGAGCTAGGAGACGAATTACAGTAGACTATATACATTGTGAGGGGTGAGACAGGGGAGGTATTAGGAGATACATACAGAGATACAGTACAGGGACAGTATAGATACGATCTGTTCCTAAGTTGGAGAGACCTACTAGTCCTATAACTAGGAGAGAGTGTACACAGTGAGAAGGACACAGGAGAAGACAGTCAGACCTCAAGGAGACGAGTGAGAAACAACACTCAGACACACCTCAAGATAGTCACATATAGAGACTTACTCTCTGATAAACGTCCATATTTCATAATTACAAAAAAGGGACACATACAGGTCACTTTACCAAGTAAACTACTTTTTGTCGTGAATGTAGAGGACTCTGGGACGAGGAGTTTATAAAAAACTTAGACTAAACGTCGTCCGGAGAGTACAACACATATACAGAGAGAGACTCCCCCCCCCCCCAACACAAGAGATACATAGACACACATACATATATAGATATTACCAGATAGTACATTAGACGGAGAGAGGGGGGGGGGGCTAAGTGTAGAGAGAAATGAGGAGAAAGTCGAGGTGTAGATACAATAAACTAATAGTAGAAATACAGTGAGGTATTGTTGTAGATAGTTCAGAAATAATTTTTTTGTCTACACTTTTTGGTCTTGTCGCATAAACAAATCTTATTTCATAAATAAGTTACAAAGTATTATTAAATCATTACTAGGATACACGGAGGCTTCCCGCTCGTCCTCCGCTCGTCTACGGAATACTAGGGAATGAGTGACGACTAATTCGTACCCGCATAGTAATAAAAAAGTATGGCAGTATGGACGGACGTGTAGTATGGCACCGCATATGCCGATATACTGCCATAGTCAGGGTTTAAAATTCCCGCAGTAAAGTCCCCGCAGTCTAACACCTGAATTAGTCGACTAAGTTTTACACGTCGAGCACGACAATGATTTGGTCTCAATCCTTTTCCCTGGGTGGTAATCGAGGACAAGACCGACGGAATGTGCCGGAGGGATTCTTGTGTCCTATCTTTAAAATTTTAAGAAGAAGAGCGGATGTTTCGGGATATTACCCGTCCGGCGGTAGAATGGAATTTCTTTGAGTAATATTGGGATAACGAGGATGATTCCGTAACGCAACAAGGTTTCTTACGTCCCAACAACCGAACA